GCCCTCCGCCTGTGAGTGGAGGTCCCTCCTGACGGGAATCTCCCATTGAGAGTCGTCGAGAAGGGAAATCAGGTCCGAGAACCATACTCGGCCCGGCCAGAACGGGGCTACTAGTAGCAGACGGACCCCGTCCCGGCGCACTCTCTCCAGAACTCCCGGGAGCAGAACGATCGGGGGAAAAGCGTACAGACTAAGCCTCGGCCAAGTCTGTACCATGGCATCCAGCCCCAGTGGAGCTGGATGAGTCAGAGAGTACCAGAGGAGACATTGCGATGTCTCCTGAGTCCTGGAAAAGGTATCACGTTGGACTCAGCTGCCATCAGACCCAGCAGTCTTTGAAACTGCTTGACAGTGAGTGACCAGCTTTAGTCTTAACCCCAACTCTTTCATATGGGCGAGAACGACATCTCGATGTCAAACCACCATCTGCTCTGATTGAGCAAGAATCAACCAATCGTCAATATAATTTAGTATGCGGATGCCTTGGAGTCGCAGTGGAGCCAGAGCAGCATCCACACACTTCGTTAAAGTGCGGGGTGAGAGTGCAAGGCTGAATGGAAGAACCCGATATTGGTAAGCTTCGCCCCCGAAAGCAAACCTCAGGAACTTCCTGTGTTGAGGAAGGATGGAGACATGGAAATATTCATCTTTTAGATCTATCGTGACAAACCAGTACTCGGACCTGATCTGAGACACGACCTGTTTGATAGTGAGCATTGTTTCCCATTGAAACAAGGCGGAGGAGAACCAAACTGAATTCTGTAACCTCTCTCTACAGTCTGCAGGACCCATCGTGAGATATTTGGCAAAAGCTTCCACGCTGCCAGAAAATCTACTAAGGGAATCAGTCTCTCGAGACTGACCTCCGGTGTAATAGGAGACCTCCTCAGAGGTAGTGAGCCCCCCAGAGCCGCTACGTTTACGGGCGAACACTGGGATGTGCACTCGCTGGAGACCGGTGTGCCCTGAAGCACAGACGGTGGCAGGGTTAACAGCTCGGCCTCCTGAGGGCACTGAGGAGAGACGGGCACCGTATAATGAGGTGTACACCACTCTTCCCCAGCGGAGGCTGCCCTCAAGCCCTGGGACACAAACATCAGGGCTTCTTTGTCAAAGACTTCTTAGCCAGAAGGACGGTCCTCAGATTGGGCTTCGAAGCCTTCGACCGTGACTCACTTTCTGTGCCTCTCAGTATGAGGAGTGGGCACACGGCTGGGGCACAAGGCGCAAGCGGGGCATTAAGCAGGAAGACCCTGTCCTTCTCTTTGATGTCGGACAGGCAGACAACCACAAATGCCTCTCCGCGGCCACCAAGGCTGCCATCGACCGTCCGATAGCTTCGGCGGTCTCTTTCGTGGCGCGGAGAGACAAATCAGCGGTTTGCCGGAGTTCGCTAATATCATCGGCTTTAACTTCCTCACGCTCATCTAACTCTTTAAGCAGGTCTGCTTGGTATGCCTGAAGAACAGCCATCGTGTGAAGGCATGCACCAGCCTGACCTGCTGCCGTGTACCCTTTGCCCACCAGTGCTGAAGTGGTACGAAGCGGCTTGGTGGGCAGTGCCGGGGCTTTAAGGGACGATGCCACACCGGGAGATAGATAGCTCGCGAGCGTCTGTTCAACCCGGGGCATCGCCCTATAACTGTACTCATTTAATCCCGTGACGTTAGAATAATCGACCAAAGACGGACTAAAGAGGCGGGCCGAGTATGGTTTCGACCATGATCTTGACACCTCAGTGTGGAGATCGGGAAAAAACGGCAAGCCCTGGCGTGGAGGGAGCGGCTTAGACCGTAAAAAGCGTTCATCTAACTTGCTTTTAATGGGTTCTGCCTGCTTCTCGGCGGGCCATTCGAGATTTAATTTGGCCACGGCGCAAGATATCACCTCCACGAGCTCCTCATACTGTGCAGGCTGAGGGGGTCCTTCAGCGCCATCACCCTCCTCGGAGGATGACAGTCTGAGCGCCGAGCCCTCTCCCCGGGGGGAAGAAACCGCTCCGTCGGAGCGTGCTTCCGAACCCTGGGAGGTGGAGCTGGATTCGGTGGCAGAGGGAGAATAAAAGGACTCGCCCGTCACCATTCCCTCCACCAGATCCAGCTGCAAGCCCCATGACCACGTTGAACACACCTCTTTACTCTCGCGTGTCACGTGACCGAGTGTAATCGCAGCCTCTGCCTATTTTGTCATATCACGATATTATCGCAAATGCAATTAATCGTTCAGCCCTAACCACAATCGCCACGCTGCCTCAGCAGACGCAGGACCAGAGCCGCGAGGAGCACTGGTGAGGGCTCCCTCCTCAAAGAGAGCCCTCCGGGAGCGAAGCGTCCGCATGGAGAGGCGCTCACAATGCGGGCAGTCAACTCCCTCGAGAGCTGACTCGGCGTGCTTCGCTCCCAGACCCCGCCCATGATGTAGCGAGGGCAGGGAGGAACACACATCCTAAACTGCTGTTTGCCTTTATCACCCCCATTATTTGTCTTGTGCTTAGACTTTGGCATTGCTTTTTCGTTTGCAAAAGTGACTGACAACAGTAAATAGGACATACACACACAGAGCGCTTCACTGAATGACAGAAGCCGCTGCTTCATAAAAGCACCTCACGTGCTTTTATAGCTTCCTGGTCATCGTCGCCCCGTCCGTGACGTCGCGCCCATCCATTGGTCTGGTTACACACACGATTCAGAGCATAGTCACGCAGAAGGCGTTCCCAAAGCGTTCGATGCAGCTCGAGTTCCTGAAGGGCAACTAATATTAATGAAATAAAAGGCCACTTTAAAAAATTACTATGAGAAATTTACTGTAAAGCGTAATTTACTATAAATGCTTGTCAGTGCATACAGCAATACACTTTAAGACAATAGAAGTAATTATGAAATTACAAAGATGTCCCACTTAAGTGGGTCAAAAGGTAATTGCATTTAATATAAATGTAATTCTCTTTTTAAAAGTATGCTGAAGTGTGCTTACTTTTGCACAAAAGTTTGCAGAGCTGAAAATACAAATATGGCTATTAAAGAAATCATATAGACAACCAAAGCCTATTTTAATTTCAATAACAGCTAATGTTTGATAACTTTTTTGTTTGTTTATCCTATCTAACCTAAATTTGCATTTTTAAATTAAATTAAATGGTGATAAGTGGAAAAATTGGTGAATTTTCTAATGAAAAACAAACTTATATTTTGCATCACATAAAAACATTGTTCGTTGACTTTATCAAATAAGATGACTAAGCTTAGTATCCTGTTTTATTATATCCATAAATGATGTAGAAATTGCTTGAAAATGAAAGTTTTTTGACCTAGCTATTTGTTAAACTGTATTGTGTTCAACTGTCCTTTAATTCTTCTTAATAGCAAAACCTCTATTTTGTCATCAAGTAGCATTGGTAATAAAACCGTGTTGCACATTCACTGTAAAAGCAGTGCTGCTGTACTTCTAATACGACCTACCACCTGACAATCTGTATCTGCCCTCCATTTCACTGTGGCATAGAATGTGCAGCTGCTCCTATAGACACACTGAATTTAAAATGTTTTTTTCCATAGAGGCATAACAAAGAAACTCGCTGAGAATCCACGGTCACTGATCTGAATGCAGTCTCAGTGAGGAGCGTGAAATTGGATTTGTGTATGGAATCTGTTATGGCCCAGTCTACCTTCTGTTTTAAACCGAGACTCCACTATGAAACACTGTTACTAATAATTAATAAGAGTTTAAACAAAAATAATAAAAGAGTTTCTGATTGTTTCTGTATCTATGTGCGTCTCACAGAGGGAACCAGAACCGTGAACACGCTCAGCAGTGGCTTCATAAGCTCAATGACCAGTGGGAGCACCAGAGGTTTCTACAAGACTGCCATGAGGTAGGATGAGTGCCAACTGAGCACAAACAATAAAAACTGTGTCATTCTTTCTTTGTTTTTGTGTGAAGCTTGTGCGAGAGATGATTTTTATTTTTGAACCAAAAGATGTTTGCCCCTCTGTAAGTAAATCTGTGCATCAGTTAAGTGTGGACAGCAGTGCAGAATTTTGAAGTAAATGTTTGGACGTAAGCTCACGCTTGTTTCTCCTGTTCTTGGTAACTTGTCTTATAAAAAGCAAAATTACAATACATTACTCTTACAGAGTATGTAACCAGATGCAATGCGATAAAGTGATATATGTGTTTTAGTCAAGCTAGTCAAGCTGCAGGATATTTTGATGGTCACATGGTTTTAATAACAGTGGCATCATTCAGGTTAATCCTGCCCACAGTGAAAGCTCATTGGTCCAAAATCCTGCTCCATATGATTGTATATTAAACATCAGATATGTTTGATTGACTGTGATCGACACGGCCTTTACGTTTCATTGTGGACAAATTGTTGCAGGAAACTTTGCTGACCCTTGTGAAACTGCGCTTAATTGTATTAAATGTGCACTTGTAATCTTAAAAGTATATCTTTTTTAATAAACTTGAAGATAATATAATTTAAAGAATTAAAAGACTACTTAAAGGGGTCTTATGCAATTTCAAGTTTTCCTTTCTCTTTTGAGTGTTACAAGCTGATTGTGCATAGATAAGATCCCTGAAGTTGCAAAGACTAAAGTCTCAAAACCAAAGAGATAT